TATATTTTCTGTTGTAATTGAAAAAAAAAAACGTAATAGAAATAAATATTTTCGTAATTTTGCTGCGTAATTATTTGACTTGAATAATTATATCTCCATTAACGATTTGTCGTCTTTAACAAAACAACAAAATGTTGCAGTGCTTGAAGTATTTGCACATTGCCCTTAGTTAAATTTAATATTTCAGCATCGTTCTACATAGGTACAGAATGTGCTTGTAACAACATTTATTTTCCAGAGTAATTTAATAAATAACCTGACAGCTAAGTTAGAATAATAAAAATAAATCGTACAGTACCCGCATCGTTATTCTTTACAATTCTATCGTGTCCTATCGTGCGTTTATCCTATCGTATCGTACGTGTATCCTGTTGTATCGTGCGTGTATCCTATCGTATCCTATCGTATCGTGTTTTCCGTTTATCAGGTTTTGCGTTTTCTATCGTGTTTTCCGTTTATCAGGTTTTGCGTTTATCGTGAAGATCGTTTATCAGGTTCTATCGTGTATCGTGTTTTGCGTTTATCGTGTGCATTCGGAAACCCTCGCTTTTTATCTTTACCTTGAAAAGAAACACCCGAGATATCTCGAGTTCATCTTTCGTTTTGTTAATTTATTTAGGATTAATCTAACTGTTGAACAGAAAGAGAAATTAATACTCTAACTCTGGTATATTTTTTTAAGAAAATAAATAAATAAATAAAAAAGATAAATAAATAGATAAATAAATAAATAAATAAACGTCAAGTACCGTGACCAAGCAGAGAGCATATTAAATCGAAAGTCATTCTATTTTTGTACATGAAATAATCGATCTACTATTTGAGTCATTTGTTATTATTTTTTTTTTATTTGTCGATATGTAAGAAATATTTTTGTCAAAGATAGAAATATTATAATCCCTTTACACAGTCAGAGTAAAAAAAGCGAGAACTTTATTAACTTTGTTTTGATAATTATAGAAACATAAAACATTAGGTATGTGTGTAAAAAATAAATTATGAATAAAAAAATATCAGCATCTTTATTAAGTCTATCCTTTTTGTCAATAACGGAAACATAAATTTTGTCTATGCGCGCAAGTTTTGTTGTTCCTTTGTATCATTATTTTTATTCATTCGTTTCTCTGATATATCTACAAGTTTAATAACAATTTATTATAAATGAACATGCTCCATTCAATCCATCATCTGATAAGTTATATTACAATATAGATGTTTGTCATTCATGTTTAACTACTGCATTTAGAAGATGTAAAAATTAAATGAATAAATAAACAAAACCACACAAATTTTTATTATACATCTTATCTACTTCGGCGCGGAAATGAAGTAATATATACGGTAACTTAGTGACAGGTGGAAGCGCTCCCGTGACAAGAGAAATGACACTTACCTGCCTAATCAGTACACTGTCTTCTTGTCAAGTCAAGAACCCCCCCCCCCCTTTCCCCTACATGACCGGCCCGTGTGCATTCAACGTAGACATACCTGAAATCTAGCTCTCATCTGGTGTCAAGTATTTACCTTGAACCCTACTGGGTTTCAATGAAATGCATCTACTTATTTTCTGGATATTGTTCATAATTTGTATGAACAACACTTAATTAACAATTAAAGATTTTATACTAAGAAAATTGGTAAATGTACACTTCCGTTACAGATTAAAAATTGAATATTTGAATCAAATAAAATATAGGCGAGGTTTGTCCTCCGAACTCCGTTGATTTAGTCCATTTGCATACTTTTATATAATTTTTATAGGTTTACAGTCATAAACATGATTGGTGTGATCAAATAAAAAAAAAACTGCGCTTGCGGTACTTCTCGATCTTAGGGTTTTCTGTGCTGTTTGTCGTTGTTACATGTAAAGGCGTCTCAAAGATACATGAAAAAAAAAAAAAAAAAAGAAATCGCCCGGTTCTGCAGTGATACACAAGACTGGTAAATACCTTGTATTTAGTTTTATTCGTGTTTATCGATTGCATATTATACGTGACTATATTGAAGAAGTCAATATATATTTTTATTTATTTATTTATTTATTTTATTTTTTTTTTGCTTTTTGAATCGGAATTTTTTTTTGGGGGGGGGGGGGGGTATGGACCCCCCCTTCCCCGCTGACTGTGCCTCAAATGGGGTTAAGACTTTCATAATTTACAAAGTTTTGTCCAATTTTGCCGATGTTGTCCTATATAAGATAAGTTTTGTAACAATTATTACAAAGTCTAATAGCAATAATTGACAATTATTCAATCCGAAAATCCACTTGTCAAATTGTGGAAATTGATTTATTATTTATTTTTTGTGTGTGTTCTAATATGTTGTAAACAAGTGTACGTAACCATTCAATGTTATTTATTTAAAACAAAGTTTAAGTACCCAATAAATATAATCACATACATTGTAAACTTAGTTTACACGTATCTATAGTAGATACAAATTCTGTTAATGTAAATGCTTATAACACAAGCACGCTAAGAAAGCAATATCGTTTCTTTGGGGGGGGGGGGGGGCTAAAAAGAAATGTTTTGAAAAGCAAACAAAAATGGCTAAAGACATTATTATTGTCGATGGGCAATATTATATAAAAATTATATTACTACTGTATACTACACATGTTGGTACACTGTAACATTTTTTTTTTCTTTATACGACTGCATGCTCCCTTCTAGCTTAATCTTACAGGCCTATAACATTAAAAATACCAAAATAAATACAAAAGAATGGAAATGCGGTATTTTTTCGGATAATAGATGATGACAGATCTAGTGACGTTTATTAATTTCATTAAATTAGATTTCTTTCGCCGGTCTCCTTCCTCATATATACATATACAATGTATGTACTTGGAATATGTAAATAATTTCTATGTGCATGGGATATGTGCGACATATATATTTATATATTAGAGAAATTAATTAATCACAGTCCAGTGCACGGTCTGTCTCAATACAACTAGCAATTTCAGCAATTTTAAAACGCAAAAAAATTAATTAATTTATATAAAATATAAATTAAATTCGTAAAAACTTGGAGGAGAAAGCATTAACCTTAAAATAATTATAACAATAATTTTTCAATTCCCCCCCCCCCCCAAATTATGACTAGTATTTTTTTTTTTTGTAAGATTTTAATTATTAAATATAAACTATTAAAAGCGATTTTGAATACTTCGCAGACATCTTGCAAAAGATATTAAATCCAAGTATTTAAAATTTTTTTTTTTACATGTTTTTCCGTAAAAATAGTCTATGTTTGTTATGAAGGTTTTATTTGTTAAAATAATGAATATATTTATAGCGTTTCGTGAATTTATTGCACTTGGATGTAAATCTTCGCTTGTCTACGGACTCAAAATTCAAATTTAACGATTCGAAGGAATTTCGACATTTGTATAATTACACAAAAAATTGCCTAATTTCCATCATAGAGTGGAATTAATCTTAAAATAATTATAGTTTTAATTTGATGACGATCAATTTTATTGACCAAAAAAAAAAAAAAAAAAAAAAAAAAAAAAAAAAAAAAAAAAAAACGTATCTTTTACAAAGCATAATTACTTCAATGTTTTATCATGATAAATTTAAAATGTTTTATCATTTCGATTTGCGACTTTTTAAGTAATTAAAATTATCATACTACAGTATATCAAAAAGGAAACTTTTCGTCTTGTCAAAAAAACGTTTTGCATTTTGAAACAATCCTATCAGGTTTTGCGTTTATCCTATTGTGAAGATCGTTTATCAGGTCTATCGTGTTTTGCGTTTATCGTATTTTGCGTTTATCGTGTTTTGCATTTATCGTGTTTTGCGTTTATCCTATCGTGCGTGTATCCTGTCCTATCGTGCGTGTATCCTATCATATCGTGCGTTTATCCTATCGTATTGTTCGTGTATCCTGTAAAGAATAACGATGCGGGTACTGTAGATATTTTTCCTCATGAAATAATAATTCTTCAAACACGATATGTTATTTATTAAATAAAAAAAAATCCCTGTAACTCCTTAACTACAAAAAGATAAGTCCTTTCACTTCGGAGTTCCGAATGACAATGAAAACTGAACGATAGGTGAACGCTGAACGCAAGGTGAACGCAGAGTAAACGGAACGAAGAGCGAACGCTGTACGCTTTGTGAACGGTGAACGCGAGCGCACGGTGAACGGTGAACGCAAAACTGTGAACGGAGAGCGAACGGTGAACGCACAGTGAACGAACGGAAAAATGGGAAAGTAGAACGTTTCAGGGACTGTATATAAGTTGGACTTGATATTTCTGATTTAAAAGATAGGTTTTAAGTTCACATAAACGAATGTCCCTTGTATCTTTTTCACTGACAATGGCGCATATACGTCTGGCGAGGATATAAGGAAAGGTTGTTTTGGTATGATTTGGATGACAAGAACCAAAATGTAAGTATTGGTGTGTATCCGTCACTTTGTAATATATATCAGTAATGATCCTTGAATAAACTAGAATACAAACTACAGGGTAATTAAATTTTATGTTCTAGGTATCCTAGAATACAAACTGGGGAGAAGATATAGCCAACAGCCTTAAATCTAAATGGAATAGATTCCTAGATGACTGCTTTATTTTATGGGATGAAAGTGTCGAAAAATTAGAAGTCTTTCATAAAATATTGAATGCCAACATCAAATGTACAATAGATCCCAGTAAAAATCAATTACTATTCCTAGATGTTCTCTATCAAAAAGACCACAAGGATCATTACTTCTGTACATATATATATATATATATATATATATATATATATATATATATATATATATATATATATATATATATATATATATATATATATATATATATATATATATAACGAGAGAGAGAGAGAGAGAGAGAATTTCACTATAATAAGATATTACTTATGCTTTTAATAATAGCTTCTTATATTCTCTCCTTTGAATAGCAGCACCTGCATCAAACAACCATAATTTATTGAGTCATGCAACATCAAATTTTACAAACTTCTACTCACCAACATTAGAACTACCGTTCCCCATAGCCTGTCCTGTAAAAAGAAGTAAAAATAAAGTAGATGCTGTAAAATATAACAGTAATATACCCACACTTCTACTTTTGCCTCGAAATGTACCCTCCTTTATATTTGGGTAACCAGGGAATAAAACACAATAATTCTATGATTAACACAGAATGTATACATGTATTTGTCAAATGGAGTAAAAAATGCTGTGACGGTACATATTGTCGTCGGCGACAATATGTACCTACCCTCACTGCACATATTGTCGTCCATCGGTACATGTTGTCGCCGGCTGAAAAGTTACACATGTACATATTATCGCTGATGACATTATGTGCCTCACCCTCACGGTACATATTGTCGCCCCGCAGATACTGTTGCTTAAAGATTTCTTTCGTTGTGTTTGGTAGTTTTGTGAATGTAATTGGTGTGTGAATCACACTGACGTGTCACATGTGCTATTTTATGCAGCGTGATTGTGATGGTACATTTTGTCGTCCTGTTCGTATTGTCGCCGCGACAATGTGTACATACCCTGACTGCGTGTATTGTCGTCCATCAGAACATGTCGTATGGCAATGCACGGCAATGCTCCATATAAATATGACTAATCATTGCTTTGCTATTTTTGAGAAGATAATTTTTAAAGAATTTTCCGACATATTTCTATGTTAAATTTTGATCGCCCATTGTGGCTCCATTCTAGGCCCGGTTTGATTTAAAAAAAAAAAAAAAAAAAACACTTGAATCTGCGCTACCTGAGGATGCTGTGACGGTACATATTGTCGTTTTGTACATATTGTCGTCGGCGACAATATGTACCTACCCTCACTGCACACATTGTTGTCCATCGGTATATATTGTCGCCGGCGACAATATGTACCGAGACGAGCCTTATTTTCCTCCTGCATAATGGACGACAAAATGTACAGTAAAGCATCGGCACATATTGTCGTCGGCGACAATATATGCAGTCAAGGTCGGCATATATTGTCGTCGATATATTGTTTTGACGAATATTTACTTGAGAAAGGAAAAAGAGATTGACAAACACACACACGCACGGAGGAGACAGACAGCATTACTAGCAATACTGTAGGAAGAAAACTTTTTGGTCAAAAAATTTTGTCCAGAATTGACGTACATCACTATGATACATGTATGTCAAGATACCGTAATTCATCAGATATATGATAAGTCAGCCTATTCTTTTTTCTTAATATATACATGGAGATTGAATACATGTACATGTATTAGTTTGTTTTTGTTCAGTAGTAATGATTATTTGGAAATTATTTTTTGCGTTTTTCTTATATATACAATCATGTGCCGATATAATTGGTGTTGGGGTTAATTTTTAGATCACCTGAACTGGAAGTTCAAGTGAGCTCTTCTGATCACATTTTGTCTGACCGTCCGTCCGTCTGTGATCGTTTCACAATTTCAGCTTCTTCTCAAAAACTACTGGGTCAATTTCAACTAAACTTGTCACAAAGCATCCTGGATAAAGGGGATTGAAGTTTGTTCAAATGAAGAGCCATGTCCTCTTTCAAGGGAAGGAGTTCAGAAAATTTAGTGACATCTTTTAAAAATCTTCACAAGAACCACTGTGTCAGAAAAGTTGAAACTCATATGAAAGGTTCATTATGAAGTGTAGATTCAGTTTAATTCAGATCATGTCCCTAGGGGGAAGGCTACAAAAGGTGATCAAATTTTTTCATAGAATATTTGAAAAAAAAATCTTTCAAAATCTTCTTTCCAAGAACTACTGGGTCAGAAAATACTAATGAGAAAGCTTCATTACATAGCGTACGTTCACTTTTGAGGTCCTGGCACGCAAAAGATCCCTCAATGACCCTGTGTGCCAAGTATAGGTCTAAATTTGCAGCCCTCCACCGTCAAGTGGTCACGTCTCCATATGAATGAAAAATTCTCGAGAGGGACATTATACATACAAACAAACAAACAAAAACAAAATTAATTTTGTTCAAATCATAAACCCATGGGTATGATAAGTCCATAATGGTCAATCAAAGTTATACATAGGAATATATACAGAAAATCTTTAAAAATCTTCTAAAAAGCCAAAGACAGATGAAGCACCCGCGCAACCCCCCCGCCCCCCTTCTCAACCCCCGCTTGGCGGTTTGATTTTTTTGTGGTTTTGGTAAAAACTTGTATAATAATTATACTCTCAATTTAGTCTATAGCTAAAATTTCATAATTTATTTTACATATACAGTAACACACCTTTACATACAAATGACTTCTTTTTTGCTGGATCCGCCACTGAGAATCAGCAGTAGGTCCGTGATTAGTGATGTTTAAATGGAAGCATCTTCAGGTAGTACAGATTCAAGTATCTTCAAATCAAACCGGGCCTAGGGTACATTGGGCCACAATGGGCGATTAAAGTTTTACTTAAGGAATGGATTTAATAGCTACCCAATTTATACGATATAAAGTGGGTTGGGGGCAGTTTACGCTTTATAAACCGCGAAGCGGTTTAAATAAAAGCGTAAACTGTTCCTACCCAGTTTATACCGTATAAATTGGGTTGCTATTAAATTCATTCCTTATAATTTTATTTTCATTCATTTAGTGTAAGAAAAAAGATTATTGTCCTTAAAAAATGACTTCAGGTTGTACAAAATTTAAATGTAAAGTAAGGCGGATCGATGCGTTTTGACGCAAGTCATTGTGACCTAGGCAACCCAATTTATACGATATAAAGTAAATTTTTTATCCAATCAAATAACGTGTTATAACCAGAATTAAATTATATATGAATACAATCATGTATATGGAAATTATCTTCTCAAAAAGAGCAAAGCAATGATTAAGACATTTACATGGAGCATTGCCATGCATTGTCCTGCGACATGTTCTGATGGACGACAATATGCGCAGTGAGGGTAGGTACACATTGTCGCCGACGACAGTATGAACAGGACGACAAAATGTACCGTCACAACACGCTGCATGAAATAACATGAGACACGTCAGTGTAATTCACACACCAATTACATTCATAAAATTACTGAAAAACAACAAAAGAAATCTTTAAGCAACAATATATGTGGGGCGACAATATGTACAGTGAGGGTGAGGCACATAATGTCGCCAGCGACAATATGTACATGTGTAACTTTTCAGCCGGCGACAATATGTACCGATGGACGACAGAATGTGCAGTGAGGGTAGGTACATATTGTCGCCGACGACAATATGTACAAAACGACAATATGTACCGTCACAGATGCTTCCATATAAACATCATTATTGACGGACCTACAGCTCTGCTGTTCCTCAGTGGTGGATCTAGATATTTTAGAACGGAGGAGGGGAGGGATGCGGTTCAGAATTTTTTTTGACAAACAAAAAAAGTTATTTGTATGTAAAGGTGTATTTTAAGTAAATTATTTTATTATGAAATCTTATCTGTGGAATAAATTGTGAGTATATACAAGTTAAACAAACAGAATTTAAAAAAAAAAAAAATTAAACCACCCGGGGGGAGGGTTCCGCCGATGCTACATCTATCTCGTTTTTGAGATTTTTAAAGATTTTCTATATATATTCCTATGTAAAACTTTGATTACCCATTATGGCCCCACTCTACCCCTGGGGTCCTGATTTGAACAAAATTGATTCCGTTTTTGTTTGTTTGTTTGTTGTTTTAATGTTCTTCTCGAGAATTTTTCAATCGTATGTAGATGTCACAAGTTCCAGACGGAGGGCTACACATTTAGACTCAGGGCCATTGAGCAGTGAGGGATCTTTTTTGTGTCAGCACCTCAAAATTAAACGCTGCTATGTAATGAAGCTTTTGTATAAGTATCATTTCTTCTGACCCAGTAGTTCTTGAAAAAAAATTGAAAGAATTTTTCTAAATATTCTTTGAAAACTTTGATCACCTATTGTAGCCACACCCTTCCCCCCAAAGGACATGATCTGAATAAAACTGAATCTACACTTCATAATAAAGCATTCATATAAGTTTCAACTTTTCTGACACAGTGGTTCCTGAGAAGATTTTCTTGAGAAGAAGCTGAAATTGTGAAAAGTTTACAGACAAAATGTGATCAGAAAAACTCACTTCAACTTCCAGTTAAAATGATCTGAAAATGTCAACCCCAAAACCAATTTTATCGGCACATGATTGTATATAAAAATAACGCAAAAAATAATTTCCAAATAATCATTACTCCTGAACAAAAAACAAAACAAAACAAAACAAACAAACAGTCTAATACATGTATTTAGTTTCAAAGTATATATTACAAGAAAAAAAGAATTGGCTGATTTATCAGATATCTCAAGAATAACGGTATCTTGACATATCATAGTGATTAGTCCGAAATATCTGACGTTTTTCCTGGCTTTTTTCTGGATTTGATATTTTTACGTTTTCCTGATACGTAAAATATCAAAATCATTAAAAATAAAAGCCTGGAAAACGTCAGATATTTCGTAATACAGAGTAATGTACATCAATCCTTGACAGAATTTGCTGACTGAAAAGTATTCTCAATACAGTATTGCAAGTGATCCTGTCTGTGTCCCTCCGTGCATGTGTGTGTTTGTCAATCTCTCTTTCTTTTCTCAAGTAAATATTCGTCAAAACAATATATCGACGACAATATATGCCAACCTTCACTGTACATATTGTCGCCGACGACAATATGTGCTTGTGCTTGACTGCACGTTTTGTCGTCCATTATGCAGGAGGAAAATAAGGCTCGTCTCGGTACATTTTGTCGCCGGCGACAATATGTACCGATGGACGACAATATGTGCAGTCAGGGTAGGTACATTTTGTCGCCGACGACAATATGTACCGTCACAAATGCTCATTTGAACTTGTGGCCCATAGGTCTCTAATAAATATAAGTTTTTAATATACTAAATTTATTATCTGTCTGAAATTACAGAATTTGATGATTGAAAGAACAAAGTACGGTATTTTATACAGTTAAAGTATATCTTTGTGGGAGTTAGCAAGATTCCAGTTCCCCAAGGCAAGG